TGATTTGTTAGCATTCTAAATTCTATTTCTAGTCTTGTTCGTTTCCTCCATACCCGTCTGCAAACTCAGGACAATAACTCAGAATCTAGCAACTAATTTCTGGGCTCCATGAAATATTGTGTAGCTTTATAATATGACTTAAATCCAGCTACATTCAAGAAAGTGCAGTAGATTATATCATTTGTGTAGTGCTACTGTATATTCCATGTAGTGCAACAGCACTGAATATGTTCAAAATCAACAAAATGTTTACTTTCCAGTTGTTTTTTCCAAATCAATTCCATATTGTAAATGCAGATAAGACGAAATACATGTTTTCTACATCTGCTGGTGTCTCTTACTATCCTATGGGCTGATTTTTGTGTCAGTACAAACTGAATTTGAATTGCTCAACTTGAATTTGAATTTATTAGTTTGAAACTGAATTCCAAAATTGAAAAATCAAAAACAAAATAATGTTGAGTTGAGTTTTCAAACACTTAGTTTCAACCTTTCAGAACTTTATTTTCAGTTTTGAATCATGGCAGGATATTAATCCCATACACGGGCAGCCTGTTGCCCCGGCTGTGTGTAAGTTATCTCCTAAAGCCCACACTAGAGGTTGGGTAACTACTACTTTGGCTAATAACTAGGCTAAGTTTGAACACACAGCTGCTGTAACAGGCTGCTCAGCACCTCCTCTGTAAGTTACTGAAGTTACTAACCATTTCACAAAGAGGACAAGTGACATAAAGTTAACAAACCAGGATTCACTTCGGGACTGAAGGACAGGGATGGGTTGAAGCCGACTTCAAACTTGGAACATGTAAGTTGTGGACTTTATATGCAGTTTTACTACAGTATGTTAGCTGGGTGAACTTGCCGCTAGCATGCTGCGTGGCTAAAGTGGCTAGCGTCTGTCCCACACACTGAGCCGTGTTGGAGTAACATTATTTCATACTGAGAGACAGTCTGGAGAAGCAGTAGGTGTGGTAAGTTGCTTTAGTGGTATTCTACTGCAAAGCTAACGTTATCTCCGCGGCTCCGCGACTTACACACAGACGGGGCAACAGGCTGCCGGTGTGGAATACAGGAAGTGGTCAAAAACCAACGTGCTGATTGGCCGAAATAGTGCTCTGTGCATCTGCACTTGATTGTTCTTCTTCAAGGACCTTGACCTGCCTGTGACCTTAAAACTGAATTTTGTGGTTTGAAATTGAATTTAGAGAACTGAATTTGAATTGAGACAACTGAAAGTGAAAGCACAAAGACTTGAATTTTTTGTGAGGCTCAAATAATTTCAGTTTAGATTCATAATATCACATTCAGTTTCAAGTTTATTGGAATTCAGTTTGAAAATAATAAATTCAAATTCAAGGTGAGCAATCCAAATTCAGTTTTTTAATGCAGTTATTCAAGTTGAGCAATTCAAATTCAGTTCTAAATGATTCAAATTCAGTTTGTACTGACACAAAAATCAGCCCATAGATGTTGAGGACAGTGCAGCATCCTCAGGAGCCTATAGGCAAAGGGAGAACATGCAAAGCCCTAGAATCAAGAATCAGACTGAGACACTTCAAGCGTGAAAAGGCTAATCAATGAACAATAGCACTTTTTTTTATCTACGTAACTTGATTCATTCCGGTTTAACCTTTGTTCCACATGTGTAAAGAGTTGCCAGATCTGCTTTCCACAGAGTCATTCAATGGATCCAGAATGCTGCTTACCAGGTTATAGTTCACTGCTCCAGTTTTCAGTGTCTCTTTCCTCTAAGGTATATATTGGACATGACTGTTAGACCAGTTATGTTATCAACATTACATGCCATAGAAATATGATGAGTTTGATAAAATATTGTGAAAAAGTCAGCTGGAAACCTGCTGCAGTCAACTGAGAGAGATGTATTTTACCACAAGACAATGACCCCGAAAATATGAAGGTCCAACAGTTGACATTCAGAGAGTTCAATTGGATATCATGTTTGGAGGTTAGATTGAAAATAGCCGCATAGATTAAGGCAATACAACAGAGGGCCAATGGGTTGTAAAGCTGGTCAGTTTCAGTATCGTCTGGCTGAGCTCAGTTACATCAAGTTACAAAGGCAAACATGTGACTTATATGACTATAGTTAAAGCTACATTATGTAGTACTTCAAAATAATAGCTTCAAAATCAAAGGCAAACGTGACTTTAAAAAAGTTAAAGCTATATTATGTAGAAATTGTATCTCAATAGGATTTCTTTCTTTCTTTCTTTTGTAATAGGATGTATTCCAATGCTACATAGTGTTACAATGCAATTTCTTTGGAAGAAGCTAGGTTGGTATACTCAGTATGGATATCATGGCCTAGGCTGCAAAAACACGCAAGTAGATGTTGTTGGAGGAAGCGAGGAACAGAAAAAGATAGAGACCAGACAAGAGTAAATATCGGCCTGGCTTTTACTCGTTGGCATGAGCTAAAAGAGCTGAAAGGATGCAAGACAGATGCCGAGCTGGCCTTCTTGCTGTTGGACTTGTCTGAAATAACTTCCAAATAACATCCAAATTAATGTAGTGCTCTTGCATCGGTGCTGTTTAGCACTGTTGGCTAGCTTGTCACCCATGTTTCAAGCAACATAATGTAACAGGCAACATAACCGAGCTCAGCAGCCTCTATGGCAGAGGAGAAGAGGACGTTGCAGACAGAGAGTGACCAAGTAAGAGGCTTCTGGATGTTGGCGAAAGCTTTGTGAAATAAAAAGGTTGCAAGACAAACGGCAAGTTGGCCTTCTTTCTGTTGGACTAGTAGGCAATATTGCTATGTCTTGTGCTGTCGCACTTGCTTGATGTTTGGCTGTGTTAGCAAAGTTGTCGACTTGTTAGTTTCCGATCATAAGTAATGTAATCATATCAAATGTAGATGTACAAGTGTTCTTAATTACGACAGTGATAAATTACACTCCCCAATTCACAAAAAAAATTAAATCTTACATAATGTATCTTTATATTCTGGAGCAGCAAATACAGATTTCTTTATTTTATTTAAAATGTTTCATAATTCCCGCGACCCTGTTAGCAGGATAAGCAGTTGACAATGGATGGATGGATGGATGGATGTTTAATAATTAATTTAATTGTCCACAGCTGTCAGAACATATTGAACAAAATCTAAAAATCCAAAACCAACATAACACATGCATATCTGAGTCTGAGTTAACTGCTCTTGGTTCAAGTTCAAGCTCAAGTTCAAGTCTGTATTTGCCAAAACGACGCAAGTCGCCTGGAATTCATTTTAGTGATTTGGCTCATTCAGGACAGTACAAGACAATATTGGACAAAAATAACAACACATCATCATACATAACAAATAGCATAAAAACAAAACAATACTAATGAGTAAATATAACAGATAATCAAAAATCAGACAAAGTGCTAATACATTTAGTGACACTGAGGAGAAGGACGTAGTTTATAGGCAGAGCAGATAAGGATTGTTGGTGTGAATTGAGGGACCTCACAGTGCTATTTGAAAAACGGGTGGTTCTAGATCTGATGCTTCTTACCCTTCTGCCTGATGGTAGAAGGGTAAAAAGAGAATTAGCAGGGTGCAAAGAATCTTTAAGTATTTTCAGTCCAGTTTTAAGTAAACGGGTGTTGTAGAAGTCACAGATCTTAGGGAGGTCCAGCCCAATTATTTTTGACGCTGTCCTAACTACCCTATTCAGTGCAGATTTATCATCTGCTGAGCAGTTACCACACCTTACAGTGATGGAGAAAATAATTATACTCTCTATCACTGCTCTGTAAAAGTGGAGCATACCTGCCTGGGACACTTTAAATTTCCTAAGTTGTCTTAAAAAGAAGAGTCGCTGGTGAGCTTTTTTAACAATCTGACTGACATTGGTGTCCCATTTAAGACTGGAGGATATGGTGGTCCCAACAAACCTAAAACTTTCCACCCTCTCCACAGTTTTGTCCTTGATGACCAGGGGCTGTTTAAACTTGACCTTATTCCTTCAACCTCTATACAGGCTTAATTACTCTCCCTTTCTGATCACATTTCAACATTACAAAATGGCACATGAGAGAACAACAGTGCCAGCCTGTCTTGATGAACTCAAACTACAAACAAAACACTCTGTTCTGATGGTGCTGATAACAACTACTTTTAGTGGGTGAACTTTTCCAAACTTCAACGCTACCCTTGGGCTAGGCTGTTGGCCTCACTGTCAGCTACAAAAGGGACGTCTCTTTCCCAAAATACTCACAGAGCTAATGGCAGCAGGATGGGAAACTTATTTTATTAGTAAACTGTCAGCATTTTCTGTAAACGTCATGGGGATATTGGATGTTTTTCTTGCTCAACTTGAATAACTGCATTAAAAAACTGAATTTGAATTGCTAAACTTGAATTTGAATTTATTAGTTTGAAACTGAATTCCAATACACTTAAAACTGAATGTGATATTATGAACTAAACTGAAACTATTTGAGCCTCACAAAAAATTAAAGCCTTTGTGTGCTTTCACTTTCAGTTGTCTCAATTCAAATTCAGTTCTCTAAATTCAATTTCAAACCACAAAATTCAGTTTTAAGGTCACAGGCAGGTCAAGGTCCTTGAGGAAGAGCAGTCGAGTGCAGATGCACAGAGCGCTATTTCCTGCCATTATTCAAAATTGAAAATAAAGTTCTGAAAGGTTGAAACTAAGGGTTTGAAAACTCAAAATCTTACTTAAATTAAGATGTGCAAGCTTGCAAAATGTAAAAAAAATAAATAAATCTCAAGTCTCTAAACATTATGTTGTTTTTGAGTTTTCCTTCTTCAGAACAATTTTTCAGAGTTTCAAATTTGTCAGTGTTCTCCCACTGTATTAGTTTGTTTTCCAGGTTTGAAACCTTGTAAATGGTGATCTCAAAACTGGTGTGTGAATGTGTGTCACCAGCATCCCGAGTGTAAATGACACCTAGGCTTGTAGGTACCCAGCCTTTTAAGTTTAATACTTGCATATTGCAAACCAAAAGGAGAGAACAGAATCAAATGGTTGTATTTGTTGAAATGTGAATAGTTTTATTCATTGCACATTTTCAGCCCCAGTGCCATGGTTCTTTAGTTTGGATTTGCTGCACCTAAAAACATTTGACAGCTGAATCAGATTATTGTGAGTCAGTTTAGTTTTCAATAAATGCTAAAGTAGTTGTCTTTACATCCAAAGGTGTCTTTGAGGGTGAACTGATGAATGGCTACCCATCTGTTAATGATCATTGTTCATTCATTGTAGACAATAACAATGAACTCCAGGATGAAGCTGTCCACAAATATATATGTCTTCTTCTTTTCGTCCTCCTGTGAGTGATGACCACAGCATGCTGCCTAATTGTCTTCAGTGCTTTAGGCCATAAAAGAAAAAACAAAAACTGGTTGTTACTGGTTAATTACAGTAAAGTCAACTTTAAATTACTCAACTACCACACATAAAACATGGTTTAATAGAATAATCACAGTTAACAAAAGCATACATTTTGGATTAATAACTGCCGAGATTTGTCTGGTAGAGTCTCCATTGATAGTTTACTGTAAGTTAGGCCTGCATTTAACACAGCATAAATTAGCCTAGTGGCTAGCGGACTTTTCCTCTCCTCATAGCTTAACAAATTACATGTTATTTATACTATTTCTTACTCACCGCTGGTTCAGTTACTGCATGTCCCGACACAACACCACGGGTGACATCGCGCTGATGAACAAACCGCCCTGAGCTACTACCCGTTGCAGATTTCCTCTCCACATCCATGCACCGCTTGGAAGCCGTGCTTCCTGAACACATATCCTGTGCAGTCTGTCAATCCCTCTATCCAGTAAATATAACTTGTGATTGGACTGTACTTCAGCAGACAGCCAAGCATTGATCAAGAGCAGAAGGCCCTGCCTGCAGACCTTTTTTTAAGTTGCGAGGTTGCAAAGCTTCATTTTCGCTCAGTCTGAGTTTCAGAGTTTCAGAGCAGAGCTGCGTGACAACGCTGCCACAAATAACGTGAGTCGCAAACTCGCAACTGTGTAGATGTATCTCCGCAAAGTGGGTGTTGTAAACTCAGCTCTCAAAAATTGTTTGCAATAGGAGTGCAAATGTAATGTAATGTAATAAAGTTTCGCACTTTTGCACCTCAATTTTCAGAGTTTCAAAACTTTTTTTCACTTCATTTGCACACTAGTTTTCAGATCACCATTTACAAGGTTTCAAACCTGGAAAACAAACTAATACAGTGGGAGAACACTGACAAATTTGAAACTCTGAAAAATTGTTCTGAAGAAGGAAAACTCAAAAACAACATAATGTTGCAGAGATATTATTATTTTTTTACATTTTGCAAGCTTGCACATCTTAGTTTTCAATCTTGCAAGACTTTTTTTTAAGATTTTTAGTTTTCAAACACTTAGTTTCAACCTTTCAAAACTTTATTTTCAGTTTTGAATCATGGCAGGATATTAATCCCATACACGGGCAGCCTGTTGCCCCGGCTGTGTGTAAGTTATCTCCTAAAGCCCACACTAGAGGTTGGGTAACTACTACTTTGGCTAATAACTAGGCTAAGTTTGAACACACAGCTGCTGTAACAGGCTGCTCAGCACCTCCTCTGTAAGTTACTGAAGTTACTAACCATTTCACAAAGAGGACAAGTGACATAAAGTTAACAAACCAGGATTCACTTCGGGACTGAAGGCCAGGGATGGGTTGAAGCCGACTTCAAACTTGGAACATGTAAGTTGTGGACTTTATATGCAGTTTTACTGTTATACAGTATGTTAGCTGGGTGAACTTGCCGCTATCATGCTGCGTGGCTAAAGTGGCTAGTGTCTGTCCCACACACTGAGCCGTGTTGGAGTAACATTATTTCATACTGAGAGACAGTCTGGAGAACAGTAGGTGTGGTAAGTTGCTTTAGTGGTATTCTACTGCAAAGCTAACGTTATCTCCGCGGCTCCGCGACTTACACACAGACGGGGCAACAGGCTGCCGGTGTGGAATACAGGAAGTGGTCAAAAACCAACGTGCTGATTGGCCGAAATAGTGCTCTGTGCATCTGCACTTGATTGTTCTTCTTCAAGGACCTTGACCTGCCTGTGACCTTAAAACTGAATTTTGTGGTTTGAAATTGAATTTAGAGAACTGAATTTGAATTGAGACAACTGAAAGTGAAAGCACAAAGACTTGAATTTTTTGTGAGGCTCAAATAATTTCAGTTTAGATTCATAATATCACATTCAGTTTCAAGTTTATTGGAATTCAGTTTGAAAATAATAAATTCAAATTCAAGGTGAGCAATCCAAATTCAGTTTTTTAATGCAGTTATTCAAGTTGAGCAATTCAAATTCAGTTCTAAATGATTCAAATTCAGTTTGTACTGACACAAAAATCAGCCCATAGATGTTGAGGACAGTGCAGCATCCTCAGGAGCCTATAGGCAAAGGGAGAACATGCAAAGCCCTAGAATCAAGAATCAGACTGAGACACTTCAAGCGTGAAAAGGCTAATCAATGAACAATAGCACTTTTTTTTATCTACGTAACTTGATTCATTCCGGTTTAACCTTTGTTCCACATGTGTAAAGAGTTGCCAGATCTGCTTTCCACAGAGTCATTCAATGGATCCAGAATGCTGCTTACCAGGTTATAGTTCACTGCTCCAGTTTTCAGTGTCTCTTTCCTCTAAGGTATATATTGGACATGACTGTTAGACCAGTTATGTTATCAACATTACATGCCATAGAAATATGATGAGTTTGATAAAATATTGTGAAAAAGTCAGCTGGAAACCTGCTGCAGTCAACTGAGAGAGATGTATTTTACCACAAGACAATGACCCCGAAAATATGAAGGTCCAACAGTTGACATTCAGAGAGTTCAATTGGATATCATGTTTGGAGGTTAGATTGAAAATAGCCGCATAGATTAAGGCAATACAACAGAGGGCCAATGGGTTGTAAAGCTGGTCAGTTTCAGTATCGTCTGGCTGAGCTCAGTTACATCAAGTTACAAAGGCAAACATGTGACTTATATGACTATAGTTAAAGCTACATTATGTAGTACTTCAAAATAATAGCTTCAAAATCAAAGGCAAACATGTGACTTTAAAAAACTTAAAGCTATATTATGTAGAAATTGTATCTCAATAGGATTTCTTTCTTTCTTTCTTTTGTAATAGGATGTATTCCAATGCTACATAGTGTTACAATGCAATTTCTTTGGAAGAAGCTAGGTTGGTATACTCAGTATGGATATCATGGCCTAGGCTGCAAAAACACGCAAGTAGATGTTGTTGGAGGAAGCGAGGAACAGAAAAAGATAGAGACCAGACAAGAGTAAATATCGGCCTGGCTTTTACTCGTTGGCATGAGCTAAAAGAGCTGAAAGGATGCAAGACAGATGCCGAGCTGGCCTTCTTGCTGTTGGACTTGTCTGAAATAACTTCCAAATAACATCCAAATTAATGTAGTGCTCTTGCATCGGTGCTGTTTAGCACTGTTGGCTAGCTTGTCACCCATGTTTCAAGCAACATAATGTAACAGGCAACATAACCGAGCTCAGCAGCCTCTATGGCAGAGGAGAAGAGGACGTTGCAGACAGAGAGTGACCAAGTAAGAGGCTTCTGGATGTTGGCGAAAGCTTTGTGAAATAAAAAGGTTGCAAGACAAACGGCAAGTTGGCCTTCTTTCTGTTGGACTAGTAGGCAATATTGCTATGTCTTGTGCTGTCGCACTTGCTTGATGTTTGGCTGTGTTAGCAAAGTTGTCGACTTGTTAGTTTCCGATCATAAGTAATGTAATCATATCAAATGTAGATGTACAAGTGTTCTTAATTACGACAGTGATAAATTACACTCCCCAATTCACAAAAAAAATTAAATCTTACATAATGTATCTTTATATTCTGGAGCAGCAAATACAGATTTCTTTATTTTATTTAAAATGTTTCATAATTCCCGCGACCCTGTTAGCAGGATAAGCAGTTGACAATGGATGGATGGATGGATGGATGTTTAATAATTAATTTAATTGTCCACAGCTGTCAGAACATATTGAACAAAATCTAAAAATCCAAAACCAACATAACACATGCATATCTGAGTCTGAGTTAACTGCTCTTGGTTCAAGTTCAAGCTCAAGTTCAAGTCTGTATTTGCCAAAACGACGCAAGTCGCCTGGAATTCATTTTAGTGATTTGGCTCATTCAGGACAGTACAAGACAATATTGGACAAAAATAACAACACATCATCATACATAACAAATAGCATAAAAACAAAACAATACTAATGAGTAAATATAACAGATAATCAAAAATCAGACAAAGTGCTAATACATTTAGTGACACTGAGGAGAAGGACGTAGTTGTATAGGCAGAGCAGATAAGGATTGTTGGTGTGAATTGAGGGACCTCACAGTGCTATTTGAAAAACGGGTGGTTCTAGATCTGATGCTTCTTACCCTTCTGCCTGATGGTAGAAGGGTAAAAAGAGAATTAGCAGGGTGCAAAGAATCTTTAAGTATTTTCAGTCCAGTTTTAAGTAAACGGGTGTTGTAGAAGTCACAGATCTTAGGGAGGTCCAGCCCAATTATTTTTGACGCTGTCCTAACTACCCTATTCAGTGCAGATTTATCATCTGCTGAGCAGTTACCACACCTTACAGTGATGGAGAAAGTAATTATACTCTCTATCACTGCTCTGTAAAAGTGGAGCATACCTGCCTGGGACACTTTAAATTTCCTAAGTTGTCTTAAAAAGAAGAGTCGCTGGTGAGCTTTTTTAACAATCTGACTGACATTGGTGTCCCATTTAAGACTGGAGGATATGGTGGTCCCAACAAACCTAAAACTTTCCACCCTCTCCACAGTTTTGTCCTTGATGACCAGGGGCTGTTTAAACTTGACCTCATTCCTTCAACCTCTATACAGGCTTAATTACTCTCCCTTTCTGATCACATTTCAACATTACGAAATGGCACATGAGAGAACAACAGTGCCAGCCTGTCTTGATGAACTCAAACTACAAACAAAACACTCTGTTCTGATGGTGCTGATAACAACTACTTTTAGTGGGTGAACTTTTCCAAACTTCAACGCTACCCTTGGGCTAGGCTGTTGGCCTCACTGTCAGCTACAAAAGGGACGTCTCTTTCCCAAAATACTCACAGAGCTAATGGCAGCAGGACGGGAAACTTATTTTATTAGTAAACTGTCAGCATTTTCTGTAAACGTCATGGGGATATTGGATGTTTTTCTTGCTCAACTTGAATAACTGCATTAAAAAACTGAATTTGAATTGCTAAACTTGAATTTGAATTTATTAGTTTGAAACTGAATTCCAATACACTTAAAACTGAATGTGATATTATGAATCTAAACTGAAACTATTTGAGCCTCACAAAAAATTAAAGTCTTTGTGTGCTTTCACTTTCAGTTGTCTCAATTCAAATTCAGTTCTCTAAATTCAATTTCAAACCACAAAATTCAGTTTTAAGGTCACAGGCAGGTCAAGGTCCTTGAGGAAGAGCAGTCGAGTGCAGATGCACAGAGCGCTATTTCCTGCCATTATTCAAAATTGAAAATAAAGTTCTGAAAGGTTGAAACTAAGGGTTTGAAAACTCAAAATCTTATTAAATTAAGATGTGCAAGCTTGCAAAATGTAAAAAAAATAAATAAATCTCAAGTCTCTAAACATTATGTTGTTTTTGAGTTTTCCTTCTTCAGAACAATTTTTCAGAGTTTCAAATTTGTCAGTGTTCTCCCACTGTATTAGTTTGTTTTCCAGGTTTGAAACCTTGTAAATGG